CTGGGCTCCTCCTCCAGCTCTGCAAAGGGAGTTTTGGTACTGACAGAGCTGGTAAGGTCTAAGCATGCCAAGGGCAGAGAGCAGGAGCCCCATGTGTGTCCTGCTCTGGGGGCACAGGGCTGGTTTTACAGACACACTGCCCCACAATGCAGCCATGGCTGGGAGCGTCCCATCCTCCATCACCTTCCTTAAGGGAGGTGGGGAGGGATGTGGGAGGAGAAGCAGCAAATCCTTGCTGAGAGAAAGCTTGGGACAGCTGGTTTTAATAGAAACAATTCATGTGCTACTCCATCATGTATTTGTATGGGCTGGGGATGTGCAGGGGATGTGGGGGACCTTTGCCAAGTGCCCAACCGGTGCCTGCAGGGCCCTCCCCACCACAGCAGTGACATCTCACCACAGAAAGATCTGTACAGGAACAGCCTGACAAGTGCTGTCCTGTCACTGTGCCACTCTCACGCTGGGGTCTTGCTCTCCTGTCTCAGATTTGAGAAGAGACACTGAAAATTACACCCTCTTCCTCTTCCCAGACCATTTGGTCCTTGTGGGCAGCACTGGGTCGAGTTGTTCCCATGGATGCAGGGAGGGATCAGTGGGGGTGAGGACTGCTCCTCTCTCTGAGTGCCAGAGGAATTGCTGTCCACTGCCAGGCTGCTGTGATGCCTGGGGAGGGCTGGTGACCATGGGAGCTCACAGCTGGTGTCAGCTGCCCCGAGCTGGCCTTGCACCCAAGGCTGCTTCCTGGGCACAGGAACCTCTGCCACCGGCGCTGACAAGTGCCAGTCTGGGTTTGTGCTGCAGGGCTCAGCTCTGCCTGCACAAGCCTGCTCTTCCTCCTGTGTGTGAACTCTGGATGCACTCTGCAGCGGAGGTGCACGCTCGGGATGTGTTGTTTGCTTGAGTTAATGTGTGACAAACAGAAAAGCACCGCTGGCAGTGGAGGAATTGGAAATGGCCATTTCTCACTGGGCTTGGAAGCATGAACGGTTTGTTGCCATGAGGGGTGTAGGGGTGTGTGGGATGTGTGGGACTGGGCAAGCTGAGGTGTCTGGTGCTGGGCAGGCTGTTGGGATTACCTTCAGTCTGATTTCCTGTCCAAGCACAGAGCAGGAACGACTGACAGTACCTGTCCCTGCTCTGGCACCTCAGGCAGAAGTGGCATCAGACAAGTGCCTGGCTGCCCCTGGGGCTGTCTCCCAGGACTGTCCCTCAGGGGCTATCCGGGAAGCTCTGGGCTTGGTCCCAGCACCTCACCAAGAGGAAACCTCCCTTGTTTCCAGCTTTAGTGCCCACTTCACTCACCACCTTGTATCACGGAGGCATCTGTCATTCCAGGCACTGGAAAATGCCGCCCATGGTAAGCCAGCCACACTGCTGCTGTTATTTTTACTCTCCTTACTAAGACAAGGTTGCATTAAGAGGGTGTTTGCACTGCTGAAGCCCAGAATAACTCCTCATTTGCTCAAGGTGTTCAGTGCAGGACGGCGACTTTCCTCGCCCCCGCCCCGCCCCTGGAGTTGCTTCAAAGCGTGCCGGTCCCTGCAGCGCCGGTCCCTGCGAGTGTCCCGCACAGACAGAGCCGCTCTTTGCTCTGCTGGGTGTGTGCAGCCCCTCCAGTGCCCGCACATCCTGACTCAGTTCCTTGTGCAGGCAGATAAACAACCCGTGAAAAGGGGCAGTGTCTGCTCTGAGTCGCCCTGTTAAGTCGTCAACCGACTTGAGGAGCTCTGCCCATCTCCTGCGGTGCTTCCCGTCCCGAGTATTCCCCAAACTCAGCCCTCAGCCGAGCCGCTGCTCCTGCAGCCCCCGAAGCCGGGGCACCTGTGTGCTCCTCGGTGGGGAGCCCGGCATCGTCCCGGGGTGAGGGTCTGTGACTTGAGGACAAAGCGCTTTATGCCCGTGACCATCGGGGAGCTCTGTGTGGGCATCCTGGCACAAAAATGCAGGAACTGCCCCTCTCGCACCTCTGATCTGTGAGCGTGGGAAAGAACTTCCCGAGGCTGGGATGGAAGAGCTGCAGCTGCTCCAAACGTGGTCGGCAGAGCCGAGGGGCTCGGCAGCAGCCGCAGACAAGGGTCCATCAGGGCACGGAGGCTGGGGTGAGGGAGGATGGGGCTGGTGACTGCATCCCGCTCGGTTTGGGGCTTTGGTTGCCACAGGCGGCTCTGGCGCTGGGCCAGCGGCTGGGCAAGACGGGCTCAGTGCAGCGCGGGGCTCCCGAGGTGGTGGGCTTTAGAGCCGGCATAAAGCGGGGCTTGTTCCCAGCTGTGAGCGGCTGCCTGCCGGGCCAAGCACTGCAGACTTTCCTTTGGGAGAAGAAGCGGCTTTTTAAGGAAAAGCGGCTTGTTTTTCCACCTGGCCCCCAGGCAGGCGTGGTGCGCTCCGGTGTCCCCCTGGAGCCGCGGCGTGCGCTGCTCACGGGGCCGGCCCGGGGATGTGCCGTGGTGTCGGTCGCAGTCCGGGGCTCTGGCTCCCAGCTCACGGCACAGGCTGAGCCAGAGGCTGTTCCCGAAAAATGTGGAGCCTGAACCAGCGTGGCCTGGAAGGATCGGCCAGCAGCTGATAACCAGCTTCTCTTGGGAGTCCTGGTGCAAGGCACCCCCTCCCGCTTCCAGGGGAGGATCGGGAGGAATTCATTATGTAACTCTCCTTGTTTTTAGGCAGAGTCTGTATTTTTATTTAAAAGAAATGAGAGAAAAAACCCTGTCTAAAGTCTGCATTTATTGGGTCTGCAAGCACAGTGAGGGCAGGAAAGCTGGGGGCTTCCCTGGCAAGGCTCCCGTGCAAGCCCCTGGGAGGTGGGTCCTGTGTTGGACAGCAGCAATGCATGCAGGGGCCATGGCTTGTCCAGCTGTGTCAAACCTTTCCTTGCTGGTGGCCCCAGGATGGCCGCAATGCCAGTCCCACTGTGGCAGGGTCCCACAGCACTTGAGAGTGGGCTGCAGTGCTGCAGGATGGGCTCTCATCCCCTGCCAGGATAGTCATGAGCCAAACACAACGTTTTGCAAACTGATCTGGCTGTACCTGGTGCAAACTGAATTCCATCCTCTGCCTGTCATTTCCCTGCAGTTTGTTGGACCCCCTCCAGCCCTCCCTCCCCAGGGCACCTGTTCCCACAGGGTGCTGCTTCCCGGTAATCCCTCACCACCTGAGACAATGGCTTGCAGGCTCCAACGGGTCTGCAGGAGGAAACAGGAAGGGTCTGTGCTCCCCAGTTGGTCCATAGGGTGCCTGTGCTCCTCAGTGAGTTCACATGTCCAAATTTAATGCCTGAAGCTGGGTGGTTCCCCCAGGGCTAACACATGAGCTGTGTGTGTCCCCCATGCAGGTCACCTGTGCCCGACTGTCCTGTCATCATCTTCCCAGGGTGGGAATCCATAGGGCCCCTGAGCAAGCACTGGCAAAAGCGTTTTCCACCCATCCCTCGGGATGCAGCACAGCTGGGAGTTTGGAAAGCAGCTGGGTTGGCCTTTCCCTGGCCAGCTCAGATCAGATTGAGTTATGTCCAGCCCTTGGAGGTCTACCCTTTGGCGTTACCCTTCACCCTTCCTGTTTTCCTCTGGTATCACTGGTTTCTTTGGTTTTCTGTTTCTTACTGCTATCCTGCAGCTCCCCAGAGCATCAGCAACCCCAGCTCAGTGACAGGCAAGACCTCCATTTGCTCTGCCAGAGATAATTCATTGGAGATAATAAAGCTTCTCTGGGATACCTCTTCTTGCAGCCACGTCCCAAAGCCAGGACTGAACTGGTGTCCTTGTCCCACAGCTCAGCTCCCTCTTGCACCCAGAGCTGCCTCTGTGTTTACCTGCTGAAACCAGACCCACTGCCCTGGCTGTCACCCAGGAGGACAAATCCAGGCAAGACAGTGTTCCTATTGTGGCACGGGCCAAACCCCCGACTTGTGCTTCTGAACTCTCATGGCTGTTTGTGACTGAGCCCCAGTTCCAGGGGATTCCAGGGCAGGAATGGGCCTGTGGTGGCTCTGCTGGCACCAGAGCTGCTGGGGAGCCCATCTGGGGAGCTCTGAATCTTCCCACATGCTGTTGTCACTGCCTCTCTGCCTTGTCACCTATTTCCCACACTTCCTCCTTGACAGGGACAGGGCACAGCTGTGGCAGTGGCTGGGAGTGTGGGAGCCCCAGTGCTGCTTGCTCTTCCTCTTCTTTTTTTCCTCTTCCCTCTGTCTTGTCACAATTGAACGCAGTGACCATCCAGCCCCTGCTAGGGCAGAGCTTGATGGGAATCTGGTGGTGAGGAGAAGGAGGAGGATGAAGAGTGCTGTGGCTGTCTCCAGTCGGAGCTTCCTGCTCTGTACCAGCCCATGTACTGTCTGCTGTGCTGGAGCAGGGCTCAGGAACCACAGGGGGAATGGCTGACCCAGGAACTGCCATGGGGAAGAGAAGGTCATTCCCTGGAGCTGGGATCTGTGCCTGATCCACGGGCCCTCCACTTCTCTGAGCTGGTTTTGTCGTCTGCTGTATCCAACATTATAGACCTTTTTTCCTTTGGAAAAAAGTATTTCCTGGGCTCTTGTGGGAGCTTCTCTCCAAGGCTGGAGGATGCTCTGCACCCTCCAGACCACTGCCAGACCCCGACCAGACCACACTGCTGGATCCTTGCCAACCCCTGACAAATGATTTTGCCATTTCACGAGGGAAAGGAGACATTGATTAACTCCTGTACTTGCCTTTCTGGAAAGGTTATGGCTTAATTGGTCAAACTTGGGAGTAATAAATCATGTGCTAAAGGATCAGCAGAGATAAGAAAATTTTTGCAGAATGTTGCAAAACACTTTTTGGTAGGAGGGAAGGAGGGATCTGGGTGTGCCCACCCAGCTGTGGGGGCTGTCAGCTCTTCAGTGCCCAGGACTCTTCCAGGGAAACGATTCACCCTCCAGACGGGCTGGAAATTCCCTTTTCTGTGATCAGTTAAACTCAGGATTTGCAAAATATCCTCTTTTATTTTACTTATGGAAAAAGAAAACAACAGGAAAGCCACTGTTTACTTTATTCAGAAGAAGCATTAATTCCATCTGGTTTGAAAAATGACTCTCTTTCTCGCTGGAAAGTGCTACTTCTCCAACCTAAAAGCTGTAATGGGGGGATACAGCAGATCAGCTCTCAACAGAGCAGAAAATTGAGCAAGGGAACTGCCAGGCTTGGCTTGGAATGATGCTGGAGGGAGGAAAGATTTTTGGCTCTCACAGTGGGCTGGGCCCCATGCAGGTGGGCATGGCTTGCACTGGCCACATGGGATGGGGAGTGGGCACACTCAGCTGTAGGGCACGGGGATGGGGAGCAGGGATATATCATGAAGAGGTAGGAATGTCCTGGCTTGGTGACCTTGGTGCCATTCAGGACGTGGCATTACTGGAGAATGGAATGAACTCTAGGCTTGCACAGGACAGGCTGGGCTGACTTGTCTGGGTTCTCTAGGACAATGACTTTTAAACCAAAAGGAATGGGATGGAGTCAGTGACCAGGATTTCAGTGGAGCAGGGGACAGAATTGTCAGTAGGGAAACCCATGTTGAGCTGGGGAAGATGGAGGCTAAAAAAAATTGTAGGGAGAAGTAAAGAGCAGACAATTGGGTAGGACTATGAGTGGTGACAGGCAGAGGTTCTGTGACAGGGCAGGGCCGGGGTCGGTCCCGTTAATGCTTCAGTAATGACCCAGACAGGGGGAGCGTGGCGCCCACGGCGGGCAGCTGGGGCTGTAAGGAGCTCAGCGGGGCTTGGCTCGAGGATCTGGCAAAAACAAGGCTGAGGGGGGTATGAGTGATGCTCAGCCAGACTGGGATGGGTGCTGCCCTTTGCCGAGGCGCAGCATCCCGCAGGGTGCGAGCCATGACCGCGCTGGGCTGGGAGGAGGAGTGTATTTTTCTGGAACGGCCTCCAAGGCAGAGATTGCTTCTCCTCTGATGTCTCTTGATTAGCTCATGCTGTGGCTGCCCAGGGGGTGGCTGGCCAGTGCCTGGCCCCGGCAGTCAGGGTCCCGCCGTCACCCGCTCCCGGATGCCCAAACGGGCAGTGCAGGGACACGCCTGCAGGGACAGGGTCTCTGGGGACCTCAGGCAGCTTTGGACTGGGATCAGCAAGGTTGCACCCAGGCCAAACGGGTCCCAAAGGCTTCAGGACAGCGCGTTCCCAAAACAGAGTGGGAAGGTTGGGCAGGATGACACCACTCTGCTCATGTACTGGGAGGGAGAACAAGAGACTGAGGCACTTAACCCTTACAAAAGGCTCCTTTGAGCAGGAACAAGGTGCTGGCAGCAAAGAGGAGCACAGCCCATGTAGGGGGCACAGGGGACATTCTTGGTGGCACCAGCTGCCTGTGGGCACTGTGCTGGGGTGGTGGGAGCAGCTGGAACCTGGGTGAGAAGCCCAGCAGCTGGGTCTCAGTGGGACACAACTTCTCACTCTCCTCCATGAGGACCATCCAGGTGCTTCTCTTCAGGTTTATTAATGTTAATGGAGTTAGTCCCGTCTTAATGAGTGCACACAAACCCAGGGCCGCTGGGGCTCAGCCAGGGATGCAGCATAGGGATGGTAAAACCATCCAGTGGAGCAGAGACACAGCCAGTGACAGGAACATCTCACAGGTCTGCACTGCCCTGGCATGCTCCAGACACAGCTTCTAATGTGGGAACCCTCCCCACTGCCTGAGACAAGGCTGGTACTGGTAGGGATAAAGGCACTTTATGGGAGGATTGCTACACATTTGGTAGATTGTGAATGAACCCTGTGAGGTGGTGATGGAATTACTGCTGACCCATGGCAGGGAGAGCACTAAGGACAGGGAGACAAAGATTCTGGGACTGAGGGTGGGGTAAGAAGTTCCAGCATCTCACCTTTGAGCACAGGAAGTCTCATCCAGTCTGTGATCGAGACTTATGCAGCTGGACAGAAACAGCCCCATGGAGGAACTGGTTACTTGGCATTTGCTTTAGCTGAACGATCAGTGTGGTGGTTCTCCATGTAAATGATCTGGTGGGCCTTTTCAGGTGAGCAGCGTGGTCTGGGACTCTGGAGGTCCCTGGGCAAAGCCAGGCTTGCTGTTGGGGCTTCTTCCACAGAGTTCTGTGAATCTGAGTCTTCAGAGGAAAAACTGCTCTGGCTGGAAATCTGGAAGTACTGGGCAGCTTCTGCCCGTGGCCCTGCTGGTGCACCAGGTGTGCTGGGATCTGAGGCAGTCCCATGGGGCACAGCAGTAGGACATGGTGGGTCAGCACCTGGAAAGCGTATCCAGGGAGGCAGGGTGAAGGGACGCCTCCGAGGGGACCGGCTGTGCTCCTGGGCGAGGTGTCCTTCCACTCCCAGGCCGACTTTGCTCTTGGGTTTGGGATGGAGGGTGTCAGCAGAGATGTGGTGATGAGAGGATTGGGCACCCTGAGGCCCCAGCCAGCAGTGGGGCTGCAGAGACCTCTGCTCCACACCCAGCGTGGAGTCAGGAGTGGTGCTGGGCTGGGACTGTTCTGGCCCCTGGGGCTGTCCTGGCCCCTCAGTGCTGGTCTCTGGCTGCTCTACCAACCCTCTGTCCCCCAACACTGCTGGCTTGGAGGAGTCTCCCTGCCCATCAGCTTGTGCTCCCCAGGCCTCCTGCAGTTCCGCCAGCATCTCCTCCAGGATCTGCCGGGTCTCCTGGTACCTGTGCTGTGCCTCTGTCCAGGCTGCCAACCCTTGGCTGCTCTGCATCCTGCACACCTGAGCCTTCATCTCCTGCAGCTTCTCCCGGGCGAACTCCACCGAGAGCTTTTGGAAGGACGTCTGCAGGCACCGCAGTGCCTGGCCCTCCCCGCGCTGCGCCCGGGCCGAGCACTGCCGGCAGTCCAGCTTCAGCCCCGCCACCTACAAGAGGTGAGAGTGGCTGGTTTTGTGGCCACCAGCAGCACCATGTTCTGCAGGGGAAGATTCCCTCCACCCACCTTGTTGGAGAACCGGATGAGCTCCTGCAGCAGCTCCCGTTCTGCCTGCCGCCGCTCCAGCTGCTTGGAGAAGCTCATCAGCTTTGACTGGAAAAGGGCTGCAGCCACTTGGAAGGCATCTGCCTCAGGGAACGTCGTGTCTTGGACCTCAGCCGCCTCCTGGCAGAGGGTCAGGCCATGCTGGTACCGAGCCTGCAGGGACAAGAGGAAGGAACAGCTCCACACTTGGGAATGGTGCTGACTTGGAACATGTGCACAGGGGGATGTGCTGCAGGTAGCACTTGACATTGCCATTACAGATGGATGGGAAACACTTCTGGGCAAGTGACAAGAAACAAAGCAATGGGATTCTCCAAATCTCTGCTCTGCCCTTGCCTTGTTCAAAATGCAGCAAATGCACTTCCCGTCCCAGGTGGGGTCACCGTGCCTCATCCTCCCTGCAGTGTCTGTGACTCAAGGGCCTACACATCCAGGGGAACCAGAAGATCCTCATCACAATGTTATTTGTTGTCTGATGGATGCTCAGGCTTTGTAGGAAAAAGGAGCTGCATGGATGGAGTGCAGCAGGGGTTGGGGATAGCAGCCCCAGCCCAGCACACATCAAGGAACAGTGCAGCCACCCCCTCACTGGAGCAGGACTGCCCGGAGTCCCCGCAATGCTGAGCTTGACAACTGCAGTGTGACTCGACAGCTTGGGGACACCCAGTTCTGTCCAGAAGCCTCTTTCCAAACCCAAGGGGTGTCTGTCACAGAAAAGCCCCTCCAGACGTACCGTGGCCTGGGTGAAGAACTCCTTGAAGTGCTCAGTGGAGCCCTGGCAGCTGTCGGGACTCCAGTCCTCGGTGCCCATCTCCTGCAGCCGAGCCGCTGCCTCCCCATCCAGCCAGGACCCCAGCTGTGAGAGAGCGGAGCAGGGATCAGGCGGGACCGGCCACGGCAGCAGCGTGCCCACAGCACCTCCCCTTCCTGCCCCTGCCGGGCATCCCAGCCCAGGCTCAGTCACACACAGTCTCCCCTAATGAAAGTCAAAGCTCAGGCAATCCTCAGCTCCAGGAATGCCTCCAGGCTTTCGTCATCATCAAAAGCAAAGGAAACGTGACCAAAACACTCAACCATGGAACACCACTGAGGGAAACTTCAACTTGTGGCACCCTAGGACACCCAGCTCACCTTGCTAAACTCAGTCTCGAGCCCCCGAACCTTGCGGAGGAACTCCAGATGCTCCAGGCAGCTGTTGGATTGGGACACGAGGTTGTGAAGTTCTTCCTCCAGCTGACTATACAGCCCCTCAGCCAACTCCATACCGGTCCTGCGGGTTGGGAGGAGAGGGGCCATCAGTGCCAGGTGTTGCCAGGTGAGCTCATGGATGCACAAGGTGGAAGAGAGCAGTTTTCTTGCTCAGCTCCTGACCCCAGCCCTTCAGGCACCTGGACATCTCCCCAACCCATGGAACAAATGGATGGCAGGGACCACGGGATAGGAAGGTGCAGGCCAGCCCCGCTGAGAGAAGGGAGCAGGAAGGAGCAGTGCTGCCTGGATGCATGGACTATGGAGCAGCGTGGCATGGCTGGACCAGTGCAGCATCACCAGATGGGTGCAGCATTACTGGCCAAGAACGTCATCACTGGGTGAGAATGGACTGGCCCAATTACAGCATGGCTGGATGAGTAACAGCATGGCCAGATTACAGCATCACTGGATGAGTATGGCACAGCCAGGTGGGGGTGACATTGCTGGATGACTACAGCACAGCCATTGGAGCCATGCACAGCCGGATTATGGCATCACAGGATGAGTGTGGCGTGGCCAGACAAGTGCGACATCACTGGACGATCACGAGCACAGCACAGCTCGCCGGGTGCGGCATGGCCGGGACTTGGCCCCATCTAGTGGCTTCTCCCGACCCCAGCCCAAAGCATTGCTGCCGGCATTGCAGTGACAGATCTGGCCTGGCCTGGGACAGGAGACCCTCTCAGGCATCTGGCACTAGTGAGGATAAGGGGACTCCTGCAATGGGCTGTCCCAGACCTGTGGTCCGTGCTTCCAGAGAAGGACCAAGCATGGCAATAGCTCAGGTTCATGGGGAGCAGGCTTGTCCTGGTGGCTCTGTCAGCCAGCAGGAGCCGGGGGTCCCTGGCATTGGCACCCCTTGAGCAGCAGAACTGTCCCATCCTACCTGATGTGGTCGGAGGCGCAGAGGCGGGCGGCCTCCCTGCGCAGCCTGGCCAGCACGAACCCACCCTCGCGCTGCACCCGCACCAGCTGAGGCTCACTCAGCACCTTCTGCATCAGCTCCTGGTGCCTCCTGATGCCCGCAGCTGCATCCTGTGGAGGAAGGGAGGGTCAGACAAGTGTCTTACCTGGGGCCTCATCTGCGGTCTCAGCCAGCACAGGATGGGTACCTGAGGCTGCACCCCAGGCAGGAGCAGAGGGGACAGGGAACAGCCCCACGGCCAGGAGCAACCAGTCTGGGAGCAGTTATCACAAGTTTTGGGCAACTGGAGTGAAATGTTGCTGTGGCTGCACTGCAGATGGGCACTTTGGGAATGTCACCAACCTGTGGTGCTGCCACTCCTGTTACCTGTGTCCCTGCCAGCGTGTCGGTGTTCCGCAGCTCCTGGATGCAGCGCTGCAGCAGCTCCGATGCCCGCCTGAGGTTGGCTGTGAAGGGCTGCAGCTTCTGTGGGGGACACACACGGTGGGTCAGCGGGGGCAGCCTACCATGAGGAGGAGGAGGAGGAAGAGAAGTGCCAGGACAGAGCAGGAAATACTGTGAGGCATTGGGTTAAAGGTGATGAAGAAGGGATTGTGGAGGTGGATGGGCAGCTGCAGGCAGGAGCAGGTAGGAAGGAGCTTGACCCTCCTGTGCTCAAAGCTGTCCCTTTCATTCCCCTCTCCCAACCCTTCCTGTTGCTTTTCCAGGGACACGTGTACGGGACATGTAAGATGCAGTGGGGACAGAGAGACACGGGGGAGGTGAAGCAATGGCTCATGGTGTGGTAACAGACACCTGGAAGAATTGAACCCACTCGCCGTGGCAGTAGGGGAAGGCACCGTCCAGCTCTGGGGGCAGCTGGGAGCTGTCGACGTGGCGGCCCAGAGCCTTCAGCGATGTCAGGGTCTCCACCTGCAGGGCACAGGGCCTGTAAAGCTGCCTGGAGCAGGGAATCACCCCCATTGCACCAGCCCAGGGGACAGGGACAGGCTCACCTGCACCCCAGACAGCCTCTCACGGTGGGAGACGAGTTCCTTCTCAGCCAGGAGCAGCATGCTGTGGATGCAGCCTGGAGAGACACTCTGTGGGAGGCAGGGGAGAATCACCAGGGCAAACCCCACACGCAGCCCTCAGGTCACCCACGGCACTGCTGGGCTTTCCTGGGTTGGCTGAGGCTGGTGAGCTCATTGCAAAGGAAAAGGCTCCCACTCTCACTGGTGTGGAAGATGCAAACATGTCACTCAGGCCATGACCTTGTCCCAGCCACCAGCTCCCTGGCAAAGAGCCTTGGGAAGAGCCTCATGAGTGAACACCTTCTCTCACACCAGTGACACTTCTCCATGTGGGGAGCATCAGGACCAATGTGGGTTTTATCGGGCATGCAAAGGAAAAGGGTGCTGTGGCAGGGGGGACCCCATAGCCCCTGGGCAGCACAGGGCACTCCTGTGGCACTACCTGGACACTGGCATAAGGACTTTGCCACAAGAGTAGATTGTCACTGCAGAGCCCATTTCCTGGTGAATTCACATAGCAGGATGCTGGAGGGCTCTTGGTGACACCTGCCAGGTGATGGCAGGGCTCAGAAGGGACCTTTGGGGATTGCATGGAGAGTGGGCACAAGAGAGGCTCTGAGGGACCCCCAAAGGGTGGCAGCACTCCCTCCCAGACAGGGCCACCCCTGGCATGTCTATGGCACAAGCACACAGAGCCCAGCATACCTGGACAGAGCGGAGGGCTGAGAATAGGACGGGAGCGGGCGGCTGCTTCCTGGCATCCACCACAACCGTCAGCCCAACATCTTTCGCTTCTCGCCTCTCACCATTCTTCACTTCTTGCCTGGCGAGGGCAGACACAGCAGGAGTGGGGGTCCTTCCCTGGGGCAGGACCCTCTCAAAGCCCCCTCCCACATTCTTCACCCACAGCCACAGGCAATGGCCTCGCCCCTGTGGGATGCCCCTGCCAAAGATTCAGAGTGTGTGCCTCTGGCAGGGGCACGGCCCAGGGTCCCGGGGATGTGCCCAAACCAGAGTGTGCGGGATGCTGGGCATCCATCCCAACTTAGCCTGGGAGCTGCCTGGGAGCCCTGAGTCAGGCAGCAGTTGGGGGTCACTGGCAGGACCTGCTGGCCCTTACCTGGGGAGGGAGCAGAGGTAGAGGATGAGCCTCGTCAGCTCGGCAGCTGAGCACCATGCAGCCCGCCAGGCACTGCCGCTGGTAGTCACCAGGAGAAGGGCCCTGCCCAGCCTGTCTGAGCTCCCTGTGGGGAGAGGGTGAGTGACCCCTCTGGCAGCCACCTGCCAGATCTGAGCACCCCAAAACAGGCTGGGGTAACCATCAGTGCTGCCTCAGCTCAGGGCCCCCCATGGTGCAGCCTCTCTGGCCCTTCTGGAGGGGGAGAGCCAGCCCAGGGGGGCTCTTGGCATGAACGTCTGGAATTCCAGAGCTGCTAGGGACATTTTTCCTGAGAAAAAGATGGGTTTTGTTACTGCTTTTTGGTTCTTGGGAAAAAGAAGGAGCCAAATGTTTAGTGTTTGGCAGCTAAAGCTGAACAGCTTCACTGGAGAGGAATGGTGTGGGAGGGCTTGGGGCGGCTGGGACTGGGGCAGCTGCTCTGCACAGGCTGCCTGCATTTATGTTTTTAATGTTTTTGCCCGGCTGAAAGGAAATTTTCTGCTTGGAGTATTTCTGGCCTTCAGCAAAGCCCTGAAACCTTCCTCCAAAACACCCTTTCCAGCAGCCTGTGTTTCCATCCAGAGGCCTCTCCTGCCCATTCCCTGGGCTCGTGGTGCCAGCAGTACCTGGCAGGCAGATGATGCCTGAGCGCAGCAGCCCAGCATGCAGGTCCTGCCAGGCTGGAGGCTCCCGACCAGCAGTGCCAGTGCTGGGCACAGAGGGACCATTCTTGCAGCTGGCACTTTCCAGGGACCGTTCCTCCACGGGAGCAGCAGTGGCTGCATTTGTACCTGTGCATGGGGATAGAGGAGAGAGAAGCTGGCGACACTCAACGAGGAAGAGGAATAGCAAAGCCCCAGCAGTGCACCCAGTAAGGTGCTGCAGCCTCACAGGATGCTACCTTTCCCTGCTGCCCTGGCTCTGCTCATCCTGGGCGAATAGATGGCTGACATCTTCTTCCAGGCCCCCTCGTGCTGGCTGGTGACTCTTTCATCCTCGGAGGCTGTCCCGAGCCACGTGCCCTTCAGGAAGGAGAACCTGTGGCTGGAACTTGGGGGGAGCCGGGGGCTCCCCCGCTGCACCAATCCCCCTTGTCCCGGCACCCCGGGAGTGGCTCGGCGGGACTGGCGGGTGAGGAGCGTGGGGCTGCCAGCCCCCTTCCTCTGCTGTGCAGGGGTCTCACGGCGGGTGGCAGGGGGCAGCTCGGAGCCGGGGCTGTCTGGCTCCTCCAGGATGGCTGCCATCAGCCCAGAGCCGAAGCTCACCGGGTTCTGCAGTGCAGCCATGTAGGAGTCACGCTGGCGGCACTTTGGGCCATGTGGCCCTGGCTCCTGGCTCAGCTTCCTCCCCAGGCACGGGCTGCAGGGACTGTCCTCTGAGCTCAGTGCTCCCCCACAGGGCCAGGCGTCTGCTCCCGCTCCCCCATTCGCCTGGGGGAGCATCTCCTCGGCCCCGGCCCTTATTCTCCCTGGAGGGCAGGTGGGCAACAGGCATCTGGTCAGGACATCCAGGTCCTCCTGGGATTGCTCCAGCAGGTCCACATACTCCCCTTCCGGGTTCTGGCTGATGATTTCACTGAGGCTGGGCACAGCCAGCATGGCTGGCTTCTTCCGCAGACCTGCCTGCTCCACCTTGATCAGTCCTGGATATCGTCCCTGGCTTGACTTCCGAGAGGTGGCCTTGCAGCCTGGGATGGTGCCCATAATGTTGTTGTAGGGTGTGGGGACATTCACTGTGCCATGGGGCACAGGTGTGCCAGGTTCTGCAGGCTCAGGTGCGGTGTCAGGAGCAGGTTCCTGCTGGGCACCAGCGGGCACACTGTCAGCTCCAGCCCTGGGCTTGTCGGTGAACTCAGGGGTGGCAATCCGGCTCCACGGCAGTGGGGTGACGCCGTTCTCGGTGGCCACCAGGCAGGTGTGCAGGGGAGCTCCGGCCCAGCTGCTGTTCACCTCCTCCAGCCACGCATTGGTGAAGAGCAGTGCATGAGTGGCTTCGGGGACAAGTGTCTTCTCCACCGAGCGCAGGTCCAAGGAGAGGTGCTTGATGGTGACACGTGCTGTGTGCTCCTCACAGGGCTCTGCTTGCAGGTAGAAGTCCCCGGGGCGCAGCAGGAGGGGGTTGAGTGGTGCGAGGTGCACAACCACCTTCTCGTGCAGACATAAGGGCCAGCCTTCATGGAGAAAGATGCGGTTAAAGTAGGGAGCCTGGGAGGGAGGAAGAACACAGCGCATGAGAGAGCCCTGCCAGCTCTGTGCCTCCCAGCCACCCCCACACACTCCTGCTGCCCGGCCCTGTGCTTCCCATGATAAGGATGAAAGAGCCTGGTGACCCCATGCACATCCCTGAGCCAAACCTTTGCAGCACAGCCCTGCAAGCCCACACTGAGCAGTGGCTATTTCCCACATGTTTACAGAGGGAAAACCCCTGCTTAAGCCTCTCTAGGATCTAAGGATCAAGACAAGATGACCCCAGAATCCCCCCCGACCTTATTGCAGGGACCACATATGCTGGACAAATCCCAGGGAGCTGGGTGTGCCATTGTCCCCTCTGCAGGGAGCAGATGGGAGGAGTGGACGTTCAGGGAGTGACCCCACAGATCAGCATGCCCACGCGGGCAGGACTCCTTAGGGCAAACCCCTGGTGTCCAAGCGTGGCTCGTGGGGGCACTGCTGTGGGGCACGGGGGCTTACGCAGGCTGCCTGCCGCAGGCGCTCGAAGAGCCGCTTGGCTGGGATGAGGAACTGGAGCAGGCAGCAGAGCCCATCCCCCTGGTAGCTGGTCTCCAGCAGCCGAAACACCTGGCCCAGGACGGTGGGAGCAGTGGCTTCGAAGGGCGGGTACAGGGCCTGGAGAGCGCTTTGCACTGCCGCATCCAGCGACCCGGCATCCTGCGGGAGGGAGACAAGTGTTGCTGGTGGAACAGTGGCCCCGCAGCGGGGACACCACACCCCCTGAGCCGGTGCTCCTGCCCACCATCCCACGCTGCACTGTGCCACTGTCGGGGCCCTGGGATGCCCACACTGGCAATGCTGCTGAGCTCAGGGGCTCCAAACCCTCCTGGGCTGGAAACGGGGCGAGCCGGGAGTGCAGCACAGCAAGCACGGCATAGGCAGGGAGTGCGGCACGGTGTGTCCCGTTCCCAGCCCCGGGCTGTGGCTAAGGAGCCTGGGATAAGCCCCGAGACAGCAGCCGCCTTGCTCGGCCGCCAGCCGTGTGGAGGTGGAGGAGCCGCAGCAGCCGAGGGGTTAAGCGGAGTCAGACCAGACAGATCGTGGGGCTGTGCCGGGCTCTGCAGCTCGCTGCAGGAATGCAGCAGATGGGAGGAAGGACAAACATCTGAAGATGGATAGGGTGTTTTGGTCCAGACTCATTGCTGAATTTGCCAAACTCAAAATTATTCCTGTATTTTTCTGGGAAGCATTCTGCTGCATTGCACCTCCCTGCACTGCCCCAGAGTGGGGTGAGGACACTGGATCTGTGCCACATGTGAACCAGCAGTTCCCAGTTCATCCTCTCAGTGCTGCAGGAGCTGTCTGCTGTGTGGCACGCCTGGTACATGGAGAGAAGCCATCCCACGGCTCCCGTGATGCCCGGGCTGTGCTCCAGGGATGAGTCTGGCACAGCTGTCAAGAGGACCCCATGTGTGAGTGGGGAAGAGGAGCATCCTCCAAGCAGCTGGGTCCTTCTCCCATAAGAGCACCCAGGAAGTCTGGTGGGATTAGCTCAAGGTGAGCATTAGTTTCAGGCAGCTAATCCCTGGTCCAGGAGCCCATGCAGAGACAAAAGGGCCACGGTTAATTCAGCTTAATTAGTTTTAATGCGCTTTAGCTAAAGCACTTTGCAGTCATGCTCTGGTTAATTCTTCATGTCTTTTATTCCGTCTTAGCACAGGAATCTCCTGCCCTTGCACCTGAAAGGAGAAGCCACAGAGCTGGGCAGAAGAGGAGGCAAGCCAGTCCCTTCTCAGGGCCCTCATCTGCCACTGTTTCCTGTCCAGGCTTTTCGTCCTTGGACCTTTCTCCCCAAGCTTTGTCTTACTGTGTACAGTTCCTAGAATGGGCTGAGACCCTGGAAAATCCCTGATGAAGGGCAAAGTCCAGCACCCCATTCCATGTTGCTCCAGTGAGGCCCTGGTGCAGCCACCTGGTCCCCAGTGCTGAACCCAGGTGGGTGCCCACCACCTCCATGCCCAACACTGCCGAGCTTGACTTCATCCCCATCCCAACACTGAGGCCAGCAGCCACAACAGCACAGGAGGATCCATCCAGCTCCGAATGCTGCCATGAGAGATGAGCCAGAATCGCCTGTCTTGCCTCCAACAGTCTTTTAAATCCTCCCAGGGGTGGTGACTCCACCATTGCCTGGGCAGCCTGCGCCAGGGCTTGACAAACCCATTCAGTGAAGAAATTTTTTTCTAGTATCCAGTGTAACCCTCCCCTGGCACCACTTGAGGCTGTTTCCTGTCGCCCTATTACCCAGGACTTCATCCAGTGGCAGGGACAGCATGAGCCAAAGTCAGGAGAGAACCAGGGACTGATGGAGGCACCAGACACAGCCCAAGTTGTGCTGGGGAATATTTTGGCCTGGAATGACTGATTAAAAATGTTTTCATGGAGTCTCACAAAGCACTTCATCACTGGGGGAGGCTTTTGGGGTAACCATGGTGCAGCAGCTCTGAGTTCATAGGCGAAGCCACATCCGGGCCGGCCAGGAGCCCATCGGAATCCAAAAGCAGCCAGTTATCCCAGTCTCTCTCCACCCGCTGGGAGGGAGCCGGAACAAAGGCATTAGGGAGCATAAGGAGATTTACATGTGCAAAGCTACTTCCATTTTAATAAGCCAAAGTGCTGTTAAATAGAGATTGATATTTCTCCCCAAATACCCATATTTTTAAATTGGTTTACATCAACAAGACGGGCTGGGCTTTGGGGGTTTTGTGTGGTAAAGTCGTTTAACCCATGCCCAAAGCCACAGGGTGACTCAGCTCCCGCTCCTTTCTCCCGCCTGCTCAGGAAGGAGCGAGGTTTGAGCCTGGGACCAGTCCTGAATACCAATTCCTCTGCCTCTCCGCAGCCCTGGCTGTCCCCAGCTTTGGCAGGACACGATGCAAGCGCTCAGCCTGGCCCGGAGCGGGAGGCCGCGCTCAGCAGAGCCCGGGGCAACGGCACGTGCGGGCTGCGGTGCAATGGCTCTGCCGAGCATCCCCTGCGCTGGCACGGCTCGCACAGCAGCTCCCGCTCGCTGCACGCATCCCCCTGACAAACTTTGCAGGGAAGTTTAAGCATGGCGGGATGCAGCCCCGCACACAGCTGCCCACGCGGCCACGTCCTCCTCCACACCTGATCCCCCAACCTCGCACTGACCTCCACCTTCACATCTGTCTCTGCCTCCCCACCCCACCTCTGCCCTGACACCCACCTCCACACCCACCTCTGCCTTTGCGCCTCCTTCCACCTTCGCTCCCGACCTCCCTCTCCTCTGCTGTCGCTGCCGCTGCCCACCCCGTGCCCACCCGGTGCCCGCGGGACCGGCAGCCAGGGGAGGGGCAGCGGCAGGGAGAGGGATGCCCCAGGAATTACCATGTTTCCCAGGAAGTGGCAGAGGGGCCGGGGGCCGCGGCACAGACCGTCCCGTCCCTCCTCCTCCTCGCCGGCTCTCCCCGGCCCGGGGCTCCCGGCCGGTCCCCGTTCCGCCGCCGGCTCTTCCCGGCGCCGGCGCCTCCGGAGCCGCGGGCGGGGACGGACAGCCCCGGCCCCCCCGGCCCCCTCCGCCCGCCGCGCCTCTTCTGGGGGAAAAAAGAAGAAAAGAAAAAAAAAAAAAAGTAGAAGGGAAAGAAAGAAAGAAAGAAAGAAAGAAAAGGCGAAGAAAGCGGGAGCGGGGCGGGGCGGGGCGGGAGAGGGCTGGCGGGGGTGGCCCGGAGAAAGCCGGGGGGGCGGGGGGCCGCTTTCCTGTGGCCGCCGGCGGGAGCCCCCCGTAGGCTCCCGAGGTGCGGCCCCCCCGGGGACAGTACCCTGTGTGTCCCCGCGGGCGGGGGGCGGCCCCCGGTGGGATGGGATCGGATGGGAGTAGAGGGAGAAAGAAATCCCGAACGGGTGGCAGGGGGCGGCTGTACCGGGCGTCCTCCCCCAGCCCCCGCCGTCCCTCCGGAGCAGCTCCAGGCAGAGGGTCCTGGAACACACCGGGAACACGCAGAGCTGCTTGTGCGTGTGTGTGTACGTGTGTGCAGATGTGCTCATACACGCGTTTTGTGCGGGTGCCCCTCTTTTCCAATCCACCCAGGGTCAGTGTGAGCCCCCCGCAGTGGTCCATACGATCCATCCATGGATGGATCTCGTGGCTCCTATTCCTGAGTTGCCCCAAAAGTGCAGCAGCAGGACAGTGAGCACCCCTCTGGGGACTTTGAGCTGTTCCAGGGATGGGAAGGACCTACTGAGGGGCAGGATAATGGGATTCGGCAACCAGAATAGTACAAAAACAACCAGCATAAGAGCCAAAGCCACAGATTTGGTCTCTCCTAAGGCAAAGTGCTGCTTCATACAGCCCTGCCAGTCCTGGGCACAGACACCTCTCCCAACGCCGGGCATGCTGGGCACAGCTCTCCCAGCCCCAGGCACTGTGGGCACAGCATCACCGGCTCTGCCAGCCCTGCACAACATCCAGCACTCTCAGCCTCTCTGCGCCTTGCTCAGGCTGGAGTCATTTCCACTGTTGCATTCGTGGGAATGGGCTCAAGGCCGGGGCTGGGAAAGAACCAGGGCGGGTGGGACGGCCACAGCGTGGGCTGCAGGCTGCCGGGGCAGACTCGCTAGTGAACATTTGTCCAGGGATCAGCGAGCGGCCAAAGGACACGCTGTGAAAACAAGCCGAGACGGGAGGAGGTGCAGCTGGGCTGCTGGCGTGTGGGAGGGAGGACGGCGCCAGCGAGGCCTCTGCATTTGCTTCCCATTTCCTCGGGAGCTGGTGAGAGCCCTCCCGCTGCCCGCATGGATCACGAGTATTGCAAGGGCTCAGGCATCAGAGGTCGTGCGGGTGGGCAGAGGCTTGGTCGTGGGTACCAGGCTGGGGTGCCCAGCGGAACCCACCGCAGGACTGGCCCTTGGCTCCAAGCCACCATCCCAGTGCCAGCTGGGACCAGCTGGGCAGCCCCCTATCCCAACCAGCAGCCAATTGCTCCTGTAATTGTGTTAGTTCACCTACCAGCTTCAGGTTTTTCACAGCTCCCCTGGGTGCAGGGGAAGGTGAGCTCAAGGCTGTGACCTTTTTTAATTGCATGGTCACCTCTGAAATGCACCCAAGAGTTGTGGCTCTTGCATCTCTTAATGGACACCAGGGCCAGGAGAGGGCGTTGAGGGCAGGGAGGAGGACAGTGTGACTGTGTCCTGGCATCAGCACAATGGATCAATTCCTCTGTGATACTGGTGAGCAGGAAGGGACAGATGTGGAACTGAGGCCAGAGGGACCCCACCACCCTGCACCCAGAGTAGCACCTCCTCATCTGCACCTTGAGGTGTCTCTTGCCATCTGTGCTCAGCCGAGCCAACCTGCAAAGGTAACCAGCAGGTCCAGCTTTGCATCTCCACATTCCCCAGAGCAGTTTCCCATGCCCTCCAGCCAGTCTCAGACAGCAAGAGTGGGAGTCAGGGCGCTGGGGAGAAAGTCTAGCAAAAGGCAGAGCTTCTGGAGGCCACCCGGGTGCCCCTGGGGCTCCTCACCCCATGAGCTCACCCTCCTCTGCTGCTCCTGTTCTCCATGTCCTGTTTGTCCCGAGCAGCTGCTGGGACAGGCTGCAAGGGCCTCTTGCCCTGCCCCTCTGCCGGCACAGAGCCACCATTCAGATCCCCCAAGGCTCTGCCCGAGGTCACCATTCTTGCATTTTTATTTTTACTTTTCTGCAAAATCAACCCCTCAGCTCTCTGTGTCCCCTTTTGTCTCCCATGAGGCCCCCAGACTGTCACAAGCTGGCGTGCTGCGAGAGGAGCCCGCCTGTCTGGGGGAACGCAGCCCTTGGCAGGGGGAGACACACTGAGTGCAGTGCTGCTCCCAAGGGTCCCCTGGGATGTCACTGAGATGTTGGGGTAGAGGGAGGGTGAGAGCAGTGAGCCCAGCATCAGGGTTGGTCTCTGGAGCTGGTGCTTGTGGGAACGCTGGAGGCTCCTGCCCACATCCAGGGGCCATCCCCACATCTGCTGCTGGCTGTGCCCCACGGGGCTCTGGCTGTGTGAGCTCTGGGGTCCCCTGGTGTCCCCGCTGCCTGTTGGATGAAGTGGTCAGGGCTGGCGTCAGCAGTGACCCCATGCTGGCCCAGAGCCCTCCCAGCTCCAGGAGCAGCTGAGGCTGGGTCATGCTGAGCCTGCAGCTGGAAAAACAAACGTGGAGGAGCCCCCACATGTTCTTCAGCTGTATTTTTAGTTGCTGCTGGGTCAGCGGCTGTCAGAGATGTGGAGGTGGCAGTGGACAGCATCAGGCTTTGGCACCACACGTGGTGGAGTGGGCAGGAGCCGCAGCTCCCCACACCTTGATGACAGGGTTTCTCCAAGCTCTGGTCAAGTCCCTGTTGGTCTAGGGCCAACCACAGTTGCCACTGGTCCTGACCACAGCCCAGTCCTGTGGGTGACAATAGACTTGTCCTGTGTGGAAATGGGTAAGGGATGTTTTATTTTGGGCTGACAACTTCTCTTTCCAAGTTCTCTCCAAACCCAGCCACGCTGCTCTCACTTTTCTTGCTGAGTCCATAGGTTTTCCCGGTACTTCCCCAGCACACACACACCTGCCGGTGGAAAGCTGGAGAGCCGCAGCAATCATTTCTGTGGCACTGGCACAAGCTGCCCGGGGAATTCCCAGGCTGGTAGTGCCACCAGGGAACACAGATGTGTCCGGATTTCCTTGCAGATAGCAAAAATATCTGGTGTGCTTGCTCGCAGCCCCAGTCCAGCTCCTGTTGTCCCTGGGTAGCCCCAGCACGTGGCTGCAGGGTGGCTTGAGCCATGGCATCATGAGAGACATGTGGAAAGAGCTGGGACAGGATGGGGAACTGTCCACACGTGCTGAGGAGCGTGTGGGGCCAGAGGGACTCCTGCCCTGGGGAGCAGGGGGTGGCTTACGGACAGTGGAGAGAGGGGTCTTGACCTGCAGTGCTGGGCAAAGGACAGCAACAGCACAGGACTCCTGCAAGTTCCTGTTCTCCTGGGCTCGTGGTTCCCATCTGACCATTCCCATTCCTTCTCCAGCAGCCTGGGGGAGCCAGCCTTTCCCCAGTGGAACAGACCCCACATTCCCAGGAGAGGCAGAGCAGCTCGGCAGCAGAAGCCTTTACCGGTCCAAAGGGTGGGGTCAGGCAGGGCAGGGTTTCATGTTCCATCCCCTCTGTCACCACTTGCAGGAAGCACTCCTGGGACCGGCACATATGTTGAGCTTTAGATGTGGTTTTGGCTGTTCCTTGCTAAACACGGTAGTGTTTGGTCAGAGTTCAGCTCTTTGAAGGCTTTTTTTCACTTCAAAATTTGCTCAAATCCAGGGGCAAGACTTCCTGGTTTTGCTTCCTCTCTGCATTATTCCCTATAAAATTTCATTTCTCCTTATGGAACAGTTCTGGTTCCCCCACGCTCCTCCTGAACTTCTTGAATGTTGTTTTGACACAGGTCTTCAGAGAGATGGGATTGTCAACATGGGAGGTTTGGGAGCTCCTGCTGCAAACTGAGCCCGACCGAGCTAAGGGCTGATGATGGGTGACAGGGAGAGTCACAATACCAAGGAGGCTGTGAGTGTGGATTTGGCCTTCTGCCTTTCTCCTCTGCTCTTGGATGTTTCTTTCTGGGCAAAAGGAGCTCTGAGCAAAAGGAGCTCAGCCCATGGGCCTCTAGCTCCCAGCAATGGATTGGGTTGGCACTGATGGAGTCACAGCCTGTGGGTGGTGATGGTGGGTGCCTCTGGGACACAGCTCTGCCCTGGGTCATTTGTCCCTCTCTGCTGGCACCATCCTTGCCACATCCCTGTTTCCCAAGTCCCAGAGCTGACAGTGAATGCAGTGCCTCTTTCCAAGGCTGTAACCACTCATAAAAGCCCAGTGAGCATTTCCTCGGCATCTGCCAGGCAGCCTGCAAGTGACCCTGCTGAAAACTCGTGGGACAAAAGGCAAAGGGGAACAGAATGCCTTGATCTCTCCATCTTCAATCTCCACGTGCTGAGTTCCTCCAGTATGGACTCCATGATCTCATCCCTTGGGGTCTCCTGAGGCTGCAGCATACAGGGATTGCTGTGCTTGAGCAACAGCAGCATTTCACAACATCTTTGTTTGGCTCAAGGACGTTGCCTCTGGCAGTCAGGACTTCCCTGGATCCTGCATGAGATCTGCCTGCATCAGCAGCTGTGGGTTTCCTGTGCCTGGACCCCAACAGGAAATGAAAGTAACTCAAGCATTTCTTCTTCCCTCACTTTTGTCCTGCGAGGAGAGACCAGCCAGCCCAGCTCTCCTGGCTGGAGGGGCTCAGGGGTGTTCTCCCCTCACACCTGCCTGGCTGCACCCAGCTCCTGCCCCTATCTCCAGCCATCGTGACAAGAGCTGTGACATATCAGGCCTCAGAAAGTGCTGTCTTTGGAGCTTGATCCTGGGCTGATGGATGTCTCCTCCTGTGCATGGTTGCTCTGTGCAAGAGCCCTATGACAGGGTCTGGAGGTGCAGGGCACCCCACTGAAGTTGCCCTGGTGCATCTGCCCAGCCCAGGCAGGTGCTCCTTTGCCAGCCCTGCTGGGTGAGGGGGTCCCTGGGGTCTGCTCACATGAGGTGACAAGCTGTGACCTGCCTTCTTTGGCCACTGCTGTGCCCCAAGGCTGCTCTGGTGCCATTGGCAGGTCTGTGGTGTGACAGAAGCAGCTCACAGAGTAGCCAGGAGAGCCATGGGACAGAGATGGAGAGCAGCAGGGCTGGGACGCTGCTCCTGGGCAGCCTGGGCTGTTCCCAGCTTTTGCCAGGTACAGGCTGCAGGAATATGGCTCTGTCAGGCTCAGCTGGCAGTGCCAAACCCAGCTCTGCTCCACTGAGGATGCCACAGGCAGGGATTGCTGGCACTGACAGAGAGCTGGAAACCGGGCTGTTGCCCCCCAGTTTCCAGTGCCCCTTCCCTGCCTTTGGTGAGAGGCACCAGGTGTGCCTCTGTACTGGGCCATGCCATGGTGCCAGCAGCACAGCGGAGCAGGGCAGTGGCCAAGCAGGAAGTCCTGGGGACGCCCCCCATGGCTCCACACACCACCCTAACTTGCAGTTCCTGTTTTGGCAGGGATATAAAGGTGGTGTGGGCAGGGAGAGCCCAGCCCAGCCCAGCATTGCGGGAAGCCAGGATGGGAGTGCAGAGCCTGGCAGTGGCTTGTGGGGCACTGGCCTTGTGCCTGGCACTCACCACAGCCACCAACCCCGGCTTCGTGGTGAGGATCACCCAGGCAGGCTTGGACTACGGTGGGTTGTGCTTCTGATTTCTCTCCTCACAGATGTGCTGGTGGCAGAGGTGTGGAGCCAGGTACCCTGGGAGAAGTGCAGGGTGCCAGGGCAGGATGGGGGATCCTTGGCTGTGGGTGCCCATGTGAGGAGCACAGGGGCAGGATGGGGAAATCCTAGGACAGGGGTGCCAAATGCACCATTTTCCATGGCTTCCCCTGTTGCACCTGCATGCCCCCCACCCCACAACTTGATGGAGGATCTGCAGAGGGGTCAGCACTGTGGAGTCTCAGGGAGCTGCAGCCAGGCAGTGTTGGGGGCCGGCATAGCAGGAGAGTGCTGGTCCCACAGCACGTCCAGGCAGCTGAGCTGAGAACCCTGGAGGAGGGAGCTGCAGAGGAGAAAGGAGCTGGGGAGTTCTGGGGTGGGGCAGTGACAGAGATGGATGGGCCCCGTGCTGGTTTTATCGAAGCAGGCAGAGCCCTGGCTCCAGCAGAGCGCAGTTATGGATTGAAATACACTGTGTGAGAAACAGCTCATTTACCAGGCAGCTCTGCCAGCCGTGTGGGAGAGAACGTGACTCCCCTTCTCAGATGGAGGCAAGCGTGCAGCACCCACTGGTGCCGTGCTGCTCCCTGGGACCTTAACTCCCTCGACTTCTGCCTGCAGACAATGGGCATGGAGGGCCCAGTGCCTCGGACCTCCCACACACCTCACCCGGTTGGCAGCCTGGAGAGTGAGGACTGGGACATTCTCCTTTCTGTAGCCACCACCTTCCCCTGGGGCTGCAAGAAGGGCACCAGGCAGCATTGCCTGTGTGCTCACAGGGCTCCATGCACAGAGGTTTGCTTTAAAGCCAGCCTGGGAGGCAGCATCACCTGGATCTTTCCTTTGATCCTTCTGCTGCGTTCCCAGTGTGTGCTCCAGCTCTTGTGGCAATGGGGGTGATGCTCTCCCTGTGTCCCTGCAGCCCACGAGCACGGAATCACAGTCCTGGAGAAGCAGCTGGCCCAGCTGAAGCTGCCAGACATCTCGGGTGACTCTCGTGTCTTGCGCGTGGGGAAGGTGCACTATGAGATCTCCAGGTGAGCCCTGCCAGTGCCTTGGAGCCACCCACTGCCCCTCAACCCAGGCAAGGGGCAGGAAGGGTGGGGAGCCCCTGGAGCAGTGAGGACCATCCTGTCCCTTCCTCAGCTCCCTGAGATGTTTGCCCTGTCCTTGGTGCAGGCAGGTATGTTCCTGTTTCACTCATTACCCATGGGGAGAAAGGGAACTGGGGTCACAGCCCCCTGGGTATGGGTGGATTGTGTGCAATCAAAGCCGGGGTAGTGGAGATAGCCTTGCCTGTGGGACCAGGGCACACGTTCCCACGTGGAGCAGGAGCCCAGCCCGTGTGGAAATGCAAGCTCCCTGCTGCCCTGGGTGCCTCTCTGCTCCTGCAGCGCAGCGTTTGGAGCTGCTGTGGGTGGCTGCAAGGGCCACATTCCCAAAGGTGCCACTCTGCTCTGTGTGTCCCTGCCAGGCATAGCTTTGCAGCAGCAGAACTGCAGCTGGGGATGCTGCCAGTGTAGTGACTCCACTCTGTCCTGTTCTCCCTCCCTCCCTAGTCTTGCACTTGGGAGCAAGGAACCACTGTAACATGACTTTTCTTTTAATTCATATATTTTTAGACTGCGCCTTCGTGATTTCCACTTGCCATACACACGGATTACCCCAATCTCCAACGTGGGCCTGCAGGTCTCCATCTCCAACGCCTTTGCCGAGCTGGATGGGGATTGGCGGGTGAAATTTCTCTTTGTGTAAGTGCTCAGGTCTTCCTCACCCTGTTCAGGCACCCACTCTGTGTCTCCCTCTCTGGATCTGGACAGGTTTTTTCTTCTCTCGCTCTCCCTTGTGTTTTGGGCAGCTGTCACTTTGCTCACCCAGATATGATGGATAAATAGGGTGGGAGGCAGGAACAAGGCACATGTTGGGGGTGCTATACATGGACCCTCAGGTCTCTCTTCCACCACCCCTACTTGCCTTCACTCCCCTCTATTTAAAGGATCCGTCTCCTAGTTAATGTGCCAGTGAAATTTGTTTCCCCTGAGTTTAAACACTTTCCCAGTCTCCTCTGGATGCACTGTACAAGGGGGAGACTGATCCACATAGATTAATCCTGAAGCTGATTTGAGGTGTCTTCACCAGGCCTCAGCATCAACAAACATCCCTTTTTTGTACCCCTCTTCCAGCAGCCGGGACCACGGGTCTTTTAACCTGAAGGTGGAAAATGTCTACATCAAAATCATCCTGAGGCTGGGCAGTGACACCACTGGGAAGCCCACCATCAGCACCTCCGACTGCAGTGCCCGCATCTCCAAAGTCCGAGTTCTTTTTTCGGGCAGGCTTGGGTATGTAACTTCACTGCAGGGTCTGGAAACTGTGTGTTCACCCACCTGCCATGGGAATGTGACTCTGCCATGGGAATGTGGCCCTGGTGCAAGGAGTAGGCCGTTGGCAAATCTGAGGTTGCCTGATCTTAAATCTGCCCTGAATTTCTCCTGCTGTGGCTGCACATTTAAAGGGGATGGGTGTGGTTAAGGCAGACACCAGACTTCTGTGGTTTACCAGTGAGTCTGCAAATGGAAACCCTGGGGCAAAGCCAGATGCCAAATTGGTGTGGGAATGATGTTCCCAGGGTCTTGCATCTCTAGGGTCTCCCTTTCCTGGGCACATGCTTCTGCAGTATGGATCTGAGCTAGATAGGGCTTCCCTCTGTGTCTCTCTGCAGGTGGCTTTACAACCTGTTCCACAGCGTTATTGAGTCCAAGATGCGGAAGAATTTAGAGAGCAAGGTATGTGAACAGTGGAGAGCAGGGCCCTGGGTTTTCTGGTGGTCTTTAGCCCTCACTTGTAGGTGATGTGCTGGAAGGATCAGATGTAGGGATAGACTACAGCCAGAGCACACAGCTGTGTTGCCAATTCAGTAAAAAAACCAAATGAATGGGCGTTGCAGGCTCCATAGCATAGTGTGAGTCAGACTGAATTTAAAACCTGGAGCCTTTGCCAAAGCCCAGCATAAGTGGTTCCTAATTAACAAAGACTTTTCTTTCCATGTGGTCAGTTAATTAGATCTTATGTCTCAGCCAAACTCATTGTAACCTGATCAGAGCTGTCCTTTAACCTGCCATATTCTGGAGGGCTTTGGGGAGCACTGGAGGGGAAACTCTTATTCCTGATTTTCAGACATTTGGTGTTTTGTTTTACTGTGGGGGATCAGGGAGCTGTGGTACCACTGCCTGGTACAGACACTGACATGCAGGAGACCCACAACAAGGCATGGAAACAAGCTGTTAGCAATAATTACTACAAGGATAACTGGCATGAGTTACAGCCTCTCTGGATGTGAACCTTGCTTGGGAAGGAGACAGTTGGAGAACAGGCAAATCCCATTCCTGCACTAGATCCCATCCTGCCCAGGCACTATTCCCAATTCTATGCAACAACTTTCCCAAGTCCCCTTGGGGTCTGTGGCAGCAGATGGTCTGGTGGCAGGAGCGATACCAGTGCTCAGAAGCTTTTTCTGCTGTTTTATCCCCTGGAAGGAGAACAGCTCTAGGACTGCAAAGGGACCCCACTGCCCTCTGGTCCTCCTCCAAATTCCCTCTGCCCCACACACGTTCTTCATTGTCTTTGTGGAGTGATGGTGTGAGGGGCAATGGACAGGAGAGGGCAGGGGCAGGGATTGAACACCACACTGGCCACAGCTGGGCCCCAAGCCAGGCCAGGCAGCCTGTGTCTGCCTCTTGCTGTTCCTACAATGCTTGGGAAGTTCTTGTACCCCCCCAGTTCTTGGACTCCATTCACAGGGAGATCCCAGTCACAGGGAAATGTAGGTCATGGAGAAATCCCAGTCACAAGGACAAGGGCCGCATTTTTCTGCCTGCAGTAACATCCTCACAGGCAGCGATGGGGCATTTCCAGCACAGACAGAAAAATATCACTGGGGACACCGAAGAGCTGCAACCTGCTGTCATTAAGGCCATGCCCAAAGCTCTGTTACTCCTCCTCCTCATCTCTGTCAGTGTGGTCACTGCCCCTCCGCAGCGCTGCATCTCACCATCAGCTCTGTGGGCTGCATGCCCAGTCAGACAGATGATGGACAGATCCTGCCCATGGTTGCTGTGATGTTACAGTGAAAATATTGAAAGGAGCTTGTGCAGATTTCCTTAGCCATCTGCAAGAAGGTGCCCTGCAGTAAATTTCCCAGGCTAGCGGTGAGCCTGCAACAAAATCCCCACGAATGCCAGGGCTTCACTTGTGGATGACAGAGGCAGAGGGATGCATACTTCTGTCCTGGCACACAAAGCTGTAGGAGCTCAGCAAAGCTCAGCCTCAGTGCAGCCAGTGCTCCTGCCCCTGCAGGGTGGGTTAATCCTCTCAGTTGCTCTGCTTTGGCCATGTCCTGGCTGCTCAGCATGGTTCATTCCTGCATGGGCCACATGAGATTCCTTCCAGGGGTCTTCCCAGAGCTGAACTGTGCTGAGGGGAAATTGCTGCAAGCAGATGCTTGTCGGTATAAACCCTGCTTGTATCTTGGACATTTAACGTGCTGCCTGATGAATGGAGACAATCATCACTGTGTGCTCTTTCACTTAAGCAGACTTTGTCATGGAGCAGGGAGCGGGGCTGAGGCTCTGAGCTGGGGCTGTGACCCTGCTGCCCTCGCTCATCTCTGCTGCCTTTCTGTCCCACAGGTCTGTGACAACGTGGCCAAGTCAGTACAAAACGAGCTCCAGACGTACATCCAGACCCTGCCAGGTACTGGGGAGCTGCAAGTGGCTTTAGGAGCAGCTCCTCCTAGCTTTTCCCAGTCATGAGAAACATTTTACCTTGTGTCCACTCCCCATCTCCTGGTATTCAGGTACCCAAGCTGGGAGCTGGAGAGCATCTTCTCAGCAGAGACAAATCACTCTGTGTCCTGTCTGGCTGTGGAGATCCCTTTGGGATCTGTGCCCAAGGACAGGCAGGGGCTCAGGCTGCTTTAGCTGGGGGATCCAGGCCATCCTCAGGTCCAGGAGATGGTTGTGAAAAAGTGAGGAGAAAAATGGAGGTTTTTGCTTTTAAACAGAAGCAAGCATAGGGGTAGTTGGTAGTGAGCTGAGGCCCAGGAATCCCAGGCATGGCACTGTCCAGACAGCAGCAGAGGCCATCTGCTCCCAGCTTTCCTGACCATGCCATTCTTATTCATCTCTCTTCCTCGTGTTTTCAGTCACAGCCAGGATAGATGCCAAGATTGGGCTTGATTATGCCTTGGTGGCACCCCCAAGAGCTACTGCCCAGTCCCTGGATGCAGGCCTGAAGGTGAGAGGTGGCCCTGCAAACACTTGATTTGGCCAATGCCCTGCCACAGACAGGTGGGAACCAAGGTTTTGGTACCAGCTGCAAATCCTGAGTCAGCAGGTGAGTCCCACTGCTATTTGCTCCCCTTCTCCATGTCTCTTCGTCCTCCCAGGGTGAATTCTACTCCCTGGCCCATCGCTCCACCGTCCCCTTCTCACCACCGCCACTGGTCTTCCCCCCGGATCACGACCGCATGGTTTACTTTGGAGCCTCCAGCTACTTCTTCAACACAGCCTGCATTGCCTACCACAAGGCTGGGGCACTGGTCTTTGAAATCACAGAGGCCATGGTGAGTGGCACGAGCAGGACAGGGCCAGGAAAGAGGTTCCATTTGCTGAGGTGCTCCGGGAGAAGCCGCAGTGGGAGAGCTGGAGGCTGTGGGATGGGGCTGGGCTGTCAGACATGGCAGCATCTGGGGACAGGAGGGTTCACCATGGGCTCCTCTGTGCCACATTGCCCCAGTGTGACAGTCCTCTCCCTGCAGATCCCAAAGGATGTGGGATTCAAATTGGACACCTCTGTCTTCTCAGCCTTCATTCCCCAGGTGAGCAGTGTGGCCCAACCTGCCTGCCCAGAGCTCTTGCACACACAGGCTTTGCTCTGTGCCAGGTGTTCTCCCTCATGACTGGGGGGTTGTGCCATCATTCCCATCCCCTCCCTGCTCCCACACAGCTGGAGGAGATGTACCCAGACATGCCAATGAAGTTCAGGCTGTCTGCTCCCACTGCTCCATTCCTGACTATTGGACCAGGAGGAATCTCGTTCCAGCCCGTTGTGGATGCCCAGGCTTATGCCATCCTTCCCAACTCCAGCCTGGCTCCTCTCTTCCTCCTCAGCCTGGTGAGTTCAGACACAGCCTGTGGCAATGGGACAGGAGGGAGTTTGAGCTGTGCCCGGCCCTGTTGCCCAGATCCTGCCAGGGGAGGTGCCAGGTTTCTGTCCAGGCACAGTGGGAGTGTCCCCAAGTGAACAATTCCTGAGCTGGCAAATGCCAGGTTTAATACCAGGTGCAAACACACCCCTGGATGGGCAGTGGTGTGTTTCAGCTGGTCAGAGCCGTTCCCTCGGGTGTCTGCTTTGGGGTGAGGTGGGATGAGCACTGCCAGAGCTCTGTGCTCTCTCCACAGACGGGGAACGTGTCCGCTGTCGTCAACGTGAGATCCGGCCGCATAGTTGGGAGCCTGGATGTGGGCAGGTACAGAGGGGAGCAGCCATTGACTGGGCAGGGGGTGGCTGGGGGTACCTCTGTGTGGGTGCCCAGGAACAGAGAGGGGATGGCAAGGTCCTAGAGATGTGGGCTTGCTGTGGAGGGAATGAGCTGGGCCTGGAGGGAGTGGGATGTGCATGGCCATCAATGGGTGGAATTGCTCCCTCTGTTGGGACATCCTCCACTTCTGCCCCTGCACAGGATCAGGCTCTCTCTGAAGGATTCAACTGTTGGCACTTTCCAGGTAAGCTAGCCTTGATCATGACCAGAGCCCCCAGCATGGAGCTGGCAGCCTGCTGGGGGCAATTCCACACTGCTTCCCAACATGGAACCCCACATTGACCCTGCAGCCACCTCCTGCCTCAGCCTGCAAGGCAGGGAAAGGATCTGTTGCTGCTCTCACCCCAACATTTCCTGCCCTGCCAGTGCAGCCAGACAAATCTGCTGGTCTCTGGCAAAATGTGTGCCCTTCCCAGCTCCTCATCTTCTTTTCCTAATTATCTTCTAGTGCCTGCATGTCTCCTGGCCCACAGGCTAAAGCTTTTCCCCCCTTCTCCCCAATCCCCAGGTGCGAATGATGCAGTCCTTAATGAATGCCTTGACTTCCAGTACCCTGATCCCACGTCTCAATGGTGAGAATTTATTGGGGTAATGGGGGTGCTGGAGCACCCTCCACTTGGGTTGCTCCACCCAAGTGGTCCCAGCTCACTAATTAAATCCTCATTACCAAGGCTGATCCAGGGAAAAGTGCGTGCAGGAGGCGGCAGTGCAGCAGTGGGAGCCTCTTGCTGCTCTGACAGGCTCCCAGCAGCAAACACAATGGAAAAAATGAGCCCTGTGCATATTCTAATGCTTTCCAGACCCTCTCCCCAAATCCCTGCTTCTCCTGCCTCGCCAGCAGTTCAGACCAGAGCGGGGCTGGTGGCTGCAGGGGCCAAGGGGGTTCTCATGGCACAACACACAGCCCTTCTGTGGATCTTGGGGGGAGTTTCCTCTGCCTGCCCCAGGAGCAGTGGAGGAGAGGAAAGGGCTGGGGGAAGGAGGTGGCTGCCTCCTCTGTGTGCGCTGTGCTCCCTTGACTCCCATTCCCACCCCAATGTAGACACATGTGCTGTCTTTTCCAGCCCGTTTAGATGAGGGTTTCCCTCTGCCACTTCTGGACAGGATCCAGCTCTCCAATACCCTCGTGAAGTTCTACCAGGTGAGTGAGGGGGAGCACCTGGCCATGAGCTGGAGCCCATCCTGCTGTCCCTAAAGCCCTGCCTACCAGCACAGCCTCCAAATCCTGTTCCCCAAGCTGTGCTGGGAAGTGATGGATGAAAAGGTGCTCTCAGCTGCAAACCAGTGCTCTGCTTTTTCTGGCTGCATGGTGGGATTCTGGGATGGCACCACATCCTTCTCCAGTTCTTAAATGGGGGGGGTCTGAATTTCCCACGACACTTTTTATAGCAGTGTCAGCCCCAAATCCCCACTCTCCCCAGATGTCATTGCCTGGATGGATGATTTGGTGCTTGGTAGGATGCAGACCCTGCTTGTCCTGATGGAAGGAGCTGTACCACGTCTAGGGGATCCGAGAGAGTCCCTATGGTGGGGAAGCCCCATAATGGGGTCACCATGGGGATGCTGAATAGCTGTAGAGAGGTGTGGCTCTGAAATATCTCCAGAGCCAGCCATGGGGCAAAATAGGCACAGGGGTAGGCACATTTTCCCTTGAGGGAAGTGGTGGGTGCTGGGAAATGCAGCTGCCAGGGCCCATAGCAGCCTAGTGCTTTCTCTCTTTCTCCCAGAATTTCATGCTGCTTGGAGCAGATGTTCACTTCCAGCCCCAGGCATGAAAATAAGGTGATGAGAGCCCTTCAGCACAGAATATGCCCCATTCAACACTTGCCCTTCCATGCTCCCCTGCCTGAGCCAAAGACCACGAGTCCTGCCACTGCATTGCACTGCTGCCTTGGCTCAGACACTTGGATGGGGCCTCACAAGGTGCTACCATGAGCTGCGGTGCTCTGCCCTGGGCCGCCCCATCCCCACCTCCCTGTGAGCAGCAATAAAGGTGTTGGTGATGGGCTATCGTGCTGGTGTCACTATCTGCATCTCTGGCCATACAGGGCTAGATGGGAGCTGGAGCTGGGTGGGGACCACCTGGTTTGGCTGTTTCCATGGCCATGGTGAGGCACCATGGAACACCTGTGTCCCACTGGCCTGTCCCTTCACTCCAGCCTTGGAGCAGCATGGTTGGAAAGAGCACAGTGGAAAAGGCCCTGCCCTGCTGTCCAACAGCAGCTGAACATGAGCACCAGGTGGCCAAGAAGGCCAGGGGCATCCTGGCCTGTATCAACATGGCCTGTAACCAAACCAGGGAAGGGACTGTCCCCCTGGCGTGGGTGAGGCCCACATCTCAAGACTTTTGTCCAGTTCTGGGTCCCTCACTTCAAAATGGACATGGAAGTGCTGGAACATGTCCAGAGAAGGGCATGGGAACCAGGGAAGAAGCTGGAGCACCAGGAGAGGCTGAGGGAGCTGGGGGGGCTCAGCCTGGAGAAGAGGAGGCTCAGGGGGGACCTTCACACCCTCACAACTCCCTGACAGGAGGGGCAGCCAGGTGCGGGTCAGGCTCTGCTTCCAGACACAGCAATAGGACAAGGGGACATGCTGCACCAGGGGACTTTTAGGTTGGATATCAGGAAAAATTCTTTCACAGAAGGGGTCATTGGACCTTGGAATGGGCTGCCCAGGGAGGTGGTGGAGTCATGATCCCTGAAGGTATTTAAGGGAAGACTGGACATGGCGCTCAGTGCCCTGCTGTAGTTGACAAGATGATTCTGGTCACAAGTTGAATTCGATGGTCTTCGAGGTCTTTTCCAACTGAATTAATTCCGTGATTTTGTGATTCCCGCAGCGGTGCCGCCCAGCCGCGGGGCGAGCCCGGAACGTGAGAGGGGCGGAACGCGGCGCCGAGGGGCGGGGGCAGCGGCGGGGCCGCCGAGTCCGCGGCCCGTCCTTCGCCCAAAGCGCCTCTGGGTGCTGTGGCCAAGGCAGTTTTTCTCCCCAAGAGCTTAGTCCCTGCGGTGTTTCTGTAGTGGGGATGCTCTCAGGCAAGCAAAGTGATAGCAGATAAGATAAAGTCAAGACATAATCCCCACACCACAAACGGCACTTTCAGGTGCCATTGGATTCCCTGCCTGTAGCTGAATTCTCCTCACAAAGGGCTTGGGCCGCTTAAGGCTGGGGCTGTGCTCAAGAGCAGCAGCTGGAATACCCAGTTGTCCTGGCTCCCCAGGGAGAAGGCCGAGCAGGCCATCTGGAACCGTCTGCAGCACCTGAAGGCACTGAAGGCCCGGCGGCCGCAGGCTCACGCTCCACTCCGCATCGGGATCCTGGGTACGGCCGTGCTGGGTCTCCTGTATCCCACTGGCAGCACCTGCCCTTCCCTGGGGTGAAAGCAGCTGGGAAGGGCTGCAGGAGTAACGGAGGGCAGGCCCTGCCTCATGAGGACCCTTCTTTTTTGTTATGGCCGAGAGGTTTAAGGAGGAGATTCTGCACAGGGAGAAGCTGGTTGATATCTTGGCAGGCATGCCTACCATGACCTCTCTGTGCTGAAGTCCCTGTTGGTCTAGGGCCAACCACAGTTGCCACTGGTCCTGACCACAGCCCAGTCCTGTGGGTGACAATAGACTTGTCCTGTGTGGAAATGGGTAAGGGATGTTTTATTTTGGGCTGACAACTTCTCTTTCCAAGTTCTCTCCAAACCCAGCCACGCTGCTCTCACTTTTCTTGCTGAGTCCATAGGTTTCTCGGTACTTCCCCAGCACACATACACCTGCCGGTGGAAAGCTGGAGAGCCGCAGCAATCATTCCTGTGGCACTGGCACAAGCTGCCCGGGGAATTCCCAGGCTGGTAGTGCCACCAGGGAACACAGATGTGTCCGGATTTCCTTGCAGATAGCAAAAATATCTGGTGTGCTTGCTCGCAGCCCCAGTCCAGCTCCTGTTGTCCCTGGGTAGCCCCAGCACGTGGCTGCAGGGTGGCTTGAGCCATGGCATCATGAGAGACATGTGGAAAGAGCTGGGACAGGATGGGGAACTGTCCACACGTGCTGAGGAGCGTGTGGGGCCAGAGGGACTCCTGCCCTGGGGAGCAGGGGGTGGCTTACGGACAGTGGAGAGAGGGGTCTTGACCTGCAGTGCTGGGCAAAGGACAGCAACAGCACAGGACTCCTGCAAGTTCCTGTTCTCCTGGGCTCGTGGTTCCCATCTGACCATTCCCATTCCTTCTCCAGCAGCCTGGGGGAGCCAGCCTTTCCCCAGTGGAACAGACCCCACATTCCCAGAAGAGGCAGAGCAGCTCGGCAGCCGAAGCCTTTACCAGTCCAAAGGGTGGGGTCAGGCAGGTCAGGCTGGACCCCAAAAGGAAATGAAAGTAACTCAAGCATTTCTTCCCTCACTTTTGTCCTGCAAGGAGAGATCAGCCAGCCCAGCTCTCCTGGCTGGAGGGGCTCAGGGGTGTTCTCCCCTCATACCTGCCTGGCTGCACCCAGCTCCTGCCCCTATCTCCAGCCATCGTGACAAGAGCTGTGACATATCAGGCCTCAGAAAGTGCTGTCTTTGGAGCTTGATCCTGGGCTGATGGATGTCTCCTCCTGTGCATGGTTGCTCTGTGCAAGAGCCCTATGACAGGGTCTGGAGGTGCAGGGCACCCCACTGAAGTTGCCCTGGTGCATCTGCCCAGCCCAGGCAGGTGCTCCTTTGCCAGCCCTGCTGGGTGAGGGGGTCCCTGGGGTCTGCTCACATGAGGTGACAAGCTGTGACCTGCCTTCTTTGGCCACTGCTGTGCCCCAAGGCTGCTCTGGTGCCATTGGCAGGTCTGTGGTGTGACAGAAGCAGCTCACAGAGTAGCCAGGAGAGCCATGGGACAGAGATGGAGAGCAGCAGGGCTGGGACGCTGCTCCTGGGCAGCCTGGGCTGTTCCCAGCTTTTGCCAGGTACAGGCTGCAGGAATATGGCTCTGTCAGGCTCAGCTGGCAGTGCCAAACCCAGCTCTGCTCCACTGAGGATGCCACAGGCAGGGATTGCTGGCACTGACAGAGAGCTGGAAACCGGGCTGTTGCCCCCCAGTTTCCAGTGCCCCTTCCCTGCCTTTGGTGAGAGGCACCAGGTGTGCCTCTGTACTGGGCCATGCCATGGTGCCAGCAGCACAGCGGAGCAGGGCAGTGGCCAAGCAGGAAGTCCTGGGGCTTCCTGGCTGTGTGGCCCCCTGGGTCCACACATCACCTCTGCCCGTGGTTCCTGTTTTGGCAGGGATATAAAGGTGGTGTGGGCAGGGAGAGCCCAGCCCAGCCCAGCATTGCGGGAAGCCAGGATGGGAGTGCAGAGCCTGGCAGTGGCTTGTGGGGCACTGGCCTTGTGCCTGGCACTCACCACAGCCACCAACCCCGGCTTCGTGGTGAGGATCACCCAGGCAGGCTTGGACTACGGTGGGTTGTGCTTCTGATTTCTCTCCTCACAGATGTGCTGGTGGCAGAGGTGTGGAGCCAGGTACCCTGGGAGAAGTGCAGGGTGCCAGGGCAGGATGGGGGATCCTTGGCTGTGGGTGCCCATGTGAGGAGCACAGGGGCAGGATGGGGAAATCCTAGGACAGGGGTGCCAAATGCACCATTTTCCATGGCTTCCCCTGTTGCACCTGCATGCCCCCCACCCCACAACTTGATGGAGGATCTGCAGAGGGGTCAGCACTGTGGAGTCTCAGGGAGCTGCAGCCAGGCAGTGTTGGGGGCCGGCATAGCAGGAGAGTGCTGGTCCCACAGCACGTCCAGGCAGCTGAGCTGAGAACCCTGGAGGAGGGAGCTGCAGAGGAGAAAGGAGCTGGGGAGTTCTGGGGTGGGGCAGTGACAGAGATGGATGGGCCCCGTGCTGGTTTTATCGAAGCAGGCAGAGCCCTGGCTCCAGCAGAGCGCAGTTATGGATTGAAATACACTGTGTGAGAAACAGCTCATTTACCAGGCAGCTCTGCCAGCCGTGTGGGAGAGAACGTGACTCCCCTTCTCAGATGGAGGCAAGCGTGCAGCACCCACTGGTGCCGTGCTGCTCCCTGGGACCTTAACTCCCTCGACTTCTGCCTGCAGACAATGGGCATGGAGGGCCCAGTGCCTCGGACCTCCCACACACCTCACCCGGTTGGCAGCCTGGAGAGTGAGGACTGGGACATTCTCCTTTCTGTAGCCACCACCTTCCCCTGGGGCTGCAAGAAGGGCACCAGGCAGCATTGCCTGTGTGCTCACAGGGCTCCATGCACAGAGGTTTGCTTTAAAGCCAGCCTGGGAGGCAGCATCACCTGGATCTTTCCTTTGATCCTTCTGCTGCGTTCCCAGTGTGTGCTCCAGCTCTTGTGGCAATGGGGGTGATGCTCTCCCTGTGTCCCTGCAGCTAAGCAGGAGGGGATTGCGATGATGAAGAAGGAACTGGCCCAGCTGAAGCTGCCAGACATATCGGTTAAATATGGGAATAAGCACTATGAGATCTCCAGGTGAGCCCTGCCAGTGCCTTGGAGCCACCCACTGCCCCTCAACCCAGGCAAGGGGCAGGAAGGGTGGGGAGGGTGGGGAGCCCCTGGAGCAGTGAGGACCATCCTGTCCCTTCCTCAGCTCCCTGAGATGTTTGCCCTGTCCTTGGTGCAGGCAGGTATGTTCCTGTTTCACTCATTACCCATGGGGAGAAAGGGAACTGGGGTCACAGCCCCCTGGGTATGGGTGGATTGTGTGCAATCAAAGCCGGGGTAGTGGAGATAGCCTTGCCTGTGGGACCAGGGCACACGTTCCCACGTGGAGCAGGAGCCCAGCCCGTGTGGAAATGCAAGCTCCCTGCTGCCCTGGGTGCCTCTCTGCTCCTGCAGCGCAGCGTTTGGAGCTGCTGTGGGTGGCTGCAAGGGCCACATTCCCAAAGGTGCCACTCTGCTCTGTGTGTCCCTGCCAGGCATAGCTTTGCAGCAGCAGAACTGCAGCTGGGGATGCTGCCAGTGTAGTGACTCCACTCTCTCCTGTTCTCCCTCCCTCCCTAGTCTTGCACTTGGGAGCAA